GTGTTAATTGCTATTCAGTTTCAAATATAAGCCTGCATCGGGTACACAGGAGTCTAGGAGAGTGGATCATTTTCCTTGACACTACTATTAAGAAAGGGCTTTTCAAATGAGCCCTCCCAAGGGCCCAGGTGGAAGTTGTTGAGGGCTTCCTGGTACTTGCCCAGTCTTTTTCAGTTTCCTCTGAGCTTCCGAAAGCTATCTGAGGACGAGCAGATCCTAACGGTCGTGACTTGTGGCTCAAACTCCTGGTAATGATTTATAAAGAGGTTTATAAAGAGCGGCTGCCAAGGGGCCGGACATTCAGGCCCAGGCCGAGGAAGGTGGCCTGGGCCCCCAAACCAGGGGAGGGGTGGGGACCAGGGCAGGCCTGTGGCTAATCGCTTTCCGAGGGCTCCAGCCGCTGCGGCTGCATCATCCTAAGGGCTCTAGGCAGATGCCAGGCTGGACAAAGCCCTCTGCTGGGGTCGCTGCGACCGTGCAGCTGACTACACACTATCGCTGCGGGGCGGCCGATAGTCTGTGGGCTCCTGATGGATTCATCGAACTTCCCCCTTGCTGTGCTTCCAGTTCCCTTCTCTTCTTTCGGTCTTGGGCCGTTTAGGAGCAGAGGCCGGCGGCAGGCTGCAGAAGCCTCAAGCAGCTCTGACCTCTGGCACCTCCCCAAGCCCCAGAGCACAACATCTGTCCTCAGAAATACCCGGGGCGGAGGGGAGAAAGCGTGTCCACCCCTTTCTGAGTACTCGGCCTCTTATCTCTTCGGAGAAACAGCCCCTCCCCTCCGGTCTAGCTCTCCGAAGCAGGAGCACTAGGTCCCCGCCCCGCGGGAGCGCCTCCGCACCCCGTGTCCGCGCCGCCGGTTCCTCCTGCAGTACCACGCAGTGTCCGCGGGGGCGCCCCGTGCCCCGCAGCGCCATCTAGGGGCCGGGCCCCGGGTAGAGGCAGGGGAGGCGAGGGCAGGCGCGGCCGGCGAGCGAGGGGAAGCCGGCGGTGGCAGCGGCGGGCGTCCGCGGGCGGCGCGAGGAGCCCCTGTGATTGGCACAGCCCGAGCCGGAGGAGGAGGCGAGGGGAGGGCGGAGGAGGAGGAGGAGGAAGGGGACGAGCAGCGGCGGCGAGGAGCTGCGCTTCCACCTCTCCAGCCCCGGCAGGACAGGGGCGGCCGGCGCGGGCCCGGGGCGAGGACAGCACGCACCCCCGCCCGGCAGCGGCCCCGACACCCGGGGCGAGCGGGAGAGCGGCGGCGGCGGTGGGGGGGCAAGGATGCAGGGGAAGAAGCCGGGAGGCTCGTCGGGCGGCGGCCGGAGCGGCGAGCTGCAGGGGGACGAGGCGCAGAGGAACAAGAAGAAGAAAAAGAAGGCGTCCTGCTTCTCCAACATCAAGATCTTTCTGGTGTCCGAGTGCGCCCTGATGCTGGCGCAGGGCACGGTGGGCGCCTACCTGGTGAGTCCCGGTGCCAACTCCGCCGCGGGGCCCCTTCCCCAGCCCGGCACGAGGAGGGGGCCGGGCGGGCGTGACCTCGGCCCGGCGAGGAGGTTAGCGACTGGTGCAGAGGCGGCGGCCGGGGGAGCCGGAGCGGGCGGGACCGCGGGTGCCGGCAGCTGGTCGCGCGGCCGGCGGGGGTTGGGGGGCCGGGGTAGGAGAGGCGGAG